TGGTCCAACTGACTTAATGTTGGTGAAATTGGCCATCAGTATATTCTGCAGGTGGCAGCCATCAGAATTGTTACTTCTTGGTGCACAACATACTGAGTTTTTCAGTGGACTATACCGGCGCATGCTCGCTTTCCATTTGTCTATACTCACATGACTACACCTACAGAATGACACAGCGTTGTATGCGGTTGGTCATGGACACAAAGCGGAAATCAAACCTTCTAAACTGCTCAGCCTAACACAGCTCTTTCCATTGCTGATTGTAAAGTCAGAGATTCGCTTTTAGAACCATTCGGGGATGATCTGTCAATAATTCCGTAGAGTTCATGAAAGGCCAGACAATCAATCCAACAGGTCGGTCAGTCGGCCGGGACCATCCATCTAAAATAATTTATGACTAGATTTCGAAACGTTCCAAATGGAATAAGCGCATTATTTATATCGATTTTATTCCCGGTTCTGCTAGGCAATTCCCAAATGGACTTATATTTTTGCATATGCTGGTATCCGTACCTATTTATCACTTTTCCATCAGAACACGGTGAATATTCGTATCCGATGAGAGTAATTTTGTGTACGTGTGACCGGAATATAGGTCAAAGAGCAGAGGGTAAAAAATCATCGCATATTCATTTTTGTTATCAATGGGGCATTTAAATATCTGCTGGTTGCTTCAAATTTGAGTCGGGCCATTGAGATCAGCAAGCATACGAAGTCGGTGAGATGGGGGCAGTTGCGCATTTAGGTAACTAAGAAAATGGCGCTTGTAAAGTATCGCATATTTTCCGAGATACGTAGACTGAAGAAAGGAAATTTTCCCCAAAGTATTTAATTTTTTACAGAGTTTATTTGAGATGGGACTTCAAAATGAATGCTAGCGCAATGCTTTTCTTCCGCCACAAGATAACGAATATCAATATGTCGCATTCCCTATTTTTTCTTGTATAGGCCATATTGGACTTTTATACAAGTAAATGGGTAGAAGCTTCAATTCTGATACCAAAAATGTATAATATACACTGACATTGCTTAACTTCAATTATTACAGAAAGAGAAACAGAATTTCTCAAGTACGCCTTGAAAAATCAGTCACTTGTTTTATAATATCAACCGACCATTCCTTGAGTTTTTATGAACTAGACATTGGTGAGCAGTCCTATTTCCGATTTTAATGATGTGGTTTTGTAAAGATCATAACATGGATTGATATTATAAAACTCAAAATGTCTTAAAATGTAGTTATCCCATTACTGACTGAAAAGCCTTGGCGATGTTGCAGCCTTCTAAAAACATTTCTTCCTGATGACATATTATATACATATGAACATTTCATACATTTTTTCATTTTAACTTTTATTTCTTATTTCTATGGAACTAGAATTAAAAATTAGTTATTAAGTTTATGGCACCTGTAAGTCGTCATGCATTTTGGGCAATTGACGTGTAAAAACTTTGACAAATACCAATGGTAGCTCAAGACTCCTTTTCGTTTATTATAACCACAGTTTCAATAAAGCAGCTTTATTGAAGGCATTTTTGACATCAAAGGTCTTCATTACGGATAATCTTTTGTTGCCGTATGCCCCACGAGTTTATGTTTCTATTAATTTCAGCATTTATCTTTTCATAGCCTGTGAAACATTTAGATGCAACCTGCCTTTGTTTCTGTTTCTTTTGTCTATTTAGAATATATTTGAATATAAATTGCACGTTGCGTGGTACTATTTATTCAGCTTAGCTGTTGATTGCTTTTGAGCTCCCATGAAGGAAATATTACAAATTAGTTTTTGTGGGTTTTGTTATACCAGCTCAGTTAACATTTTTCGGAGCATTGCTGAATCTTCTCTATCCGTCCATAAAAAACAGCTACGTTAACAAGCTCACCAAAGATCTATTTGTATCCTTTTAATAACAGAAATATATACTTCAGATCTCAGATTTTATTTCCGTCACCTCTACTGTGAAATGCAAATGTTGAACCAACACTTGAGGGTCAGTGATGGGTATATTATCGTTCGTTTAAAATCCAAGGTTGGATCAATCCTCGGTCACCACTCAGGTCTCAAGAGTTGATTATGGAAAGCCGACAGTATTGCACTGCCGGTCTTTCCTGCCCAAAGTGTGATATTCTCCAGAAGCAACATACTCGCATCTCTCCCCATCGTACACATATGTTACATGCATTTGTACCTATGTACATGTACAAGCGAGAAAATAGGAACGTACTATTTGTTCCTTGGTCTGTGTTTATTCTCCTGTACCTTACTCAGCGTTATTCGCCTCACTATTGGCTGAATATCAACCCAGTTTCCCTCGCGTATATGCGTGGCAGTGAGCCTCCCGCCGAGCGTAGATTCTAGCTGTCGCTGGTAGCCAACACACTACATTCGAATAGGTGATTAGGAGCATCATCCTCTTCATTGCAATATACACAGTTCGCGTACTCTCTCTTTACTGCCTCCTTCAGGTTGCAGTCAAAACAACCATGTCCTGTCAGGAACTGTGTAGTATATCTATCTCTCCGGACCGCTCCCTTGTCAATCTAAGTATTGGTATCAGGGATCAACCTCCTAGTCCATGGACCATGGCCAGTTGCAGCCCATCTTTCCTGACAAAAAGCGCCCGCTTTCTTTGCTTCTAGCTTCGACGCCATTTTTATTGAGTGCGCATCCCTTCGCAGCCAGAAAATCAATTGGCAGGATACCAGTTACCACCAGCAGTGCATCGGTCAACACCGCTTTGTAAGCGCATATCATGCGCAGCACTACTTTGCACGGGCTTCTCAGTTTCAGCTGTCTACGTTTCTTTTTCCTCAAGGCCTTGCTATATATATCGAAAACGAAACAGGCGCGTTTACTGGCAGCTCAGTTTTTTTTTTGTTTTCGAGGGGGACACAAGTTTGGCAAAAAATGACGTTAGCACGTGCAGCCCCCTAAGCGGGGATGACACCACCCCCAAAATCTTAATTGGAAAGCTGGTCGAGTAATACCTTATTTTAAAGGTCTTTCAATTCCCTTTATACTTTTACAATTTCCTTTCACTTCAGTAGTTTTGAAGATTTATTGATTTGAAGCTTAAATAAAACTAATACATCATTAGTGGAGATCCATACATTTTGGTTTGGCTCAAAACGTTGTCGCACATTTTGCAATATTTGAGGAGTAATTTGAAGGCACTCATTCACAATTCTTTGTCGCAGGTCTTCTAATGATGTTGGCTGAGTAGCATAGATTTTGCTTTTTAAATGACCCCACCTAAAGAAATCCGAAGGTGATAAATCTGGCGATCTTGGGGGTCATTCAATGGCACCTCTTCTACCAATCCATCGATCTGGAAACGTCTGATCTAAATATAGTCGAACACGTAATGCGTAATGTGGTGGGGCACCATCCTGTTGGAACATCAACCTATTCGCAATGTACCGCCGATCATTCTGATTTTCAATTATGGCTGTTAATGCAGGATCTATGGCGTCTTCCAGTAGTTCCAAATACATTTCACCGGTCAAATTTCCAGGTAAGTAAAACTAGCCCAAACATTTAATTTTTGTGGCTGCTGTGTATGAACCTGATGATAAATTCTGGGATTAGAATCGGACGACTATCGGCAGTTATGACGATTTACTACGCCATTTAAGAAACAGGAACATTCGTCGGAAAAGCAAGTGTTGAATAGAAAATGTTCATCGTTTATAATTCGTTCACTCATATCTTCACAAAATTGTTCCTCATGGGATTTTCAATGTTGCGTTTTTTATTGGCGACTGACCCAGTTTCCCGAAATTTAGTTACAGGTTCTAGAGCATATTTTCGATGCACGTTACTGTTCTCATGTCGCTCATTAAATATGTCTGCTATTCTATCAGCGCACTGATTATTTCCAAAAAATATTTCGATAATTTCAACTCTTTCTGCTGTAGAATATACCCTGGTTAATTTATGTAATAAAGCGTTACAAGTTATTTTAGCAACAAAGTTTGGTCAAATCAATCGCAAACTATGTACTAAATTCCTATTTAAAATAAGTACGAGATATTTCCTTATCTTTCTCAATAAATCTTCAAAACTACTGAACTGAAGCTCATGTATTTTACATCATTATAAAGGGAATTGAAAGACCTTTAAAATAAGGTATCACTCGACCCCCCTTTCCATTTAAGATTTTAGGGTTGTGTCACCCCCGCCCAAGGGGCTGCACGTGTTAACGTGATTTTTTGCCAAACTTGTGTCCCCCCGAAAAAAAAATCGACGGGTCTGAGCGTTTTTCCAAAAAAAACTGAGCTGCCAGTGAATCCGTCTGTTTCGTTTTCGATGCGCCACCCTGTATAGGAGCTCGGTACAGTTCGCCACCTCTGTCAAATTCCTGCGCCTCTCACTACTGGAGCTTCCGTATCAGATAAGCAACGATTGTATTTATCTTATCAGTGGTGTGTCTTACATGTTCAATCATATTTTTGTCAAGCCACACACCCAGATACTCAATTGCATTTTGGCTCCGAATTTCGGCATTCTCAACCATATCAGCTAATGAAGTTAGCTTCTGTTTGCCAGAAAGTATACTTATAACATTGTGACAAGAAAGAATGTTACTACTAGCGTCATCTCTTGGGAACCGCACCAGGGGCTCTCCTTCGGCATCGAAGCGAGGTGCGAGACTGATCCCGAAGGTTCTGGACCGCTATGTGGCATACTGAAACTTTCTCTAATTAACGAGTACCTGCTTTGCGGAATATATGAGCCGACGGCTGTGAGCGTGAATGGCGAGACAAAATAATTCGTAAATAAGTAGTCAGACATAAATATTGGAGTACATAAGTGTTCTATCTAGCTTTAAAGTTAGTTGTGTTGTGTTGTAAATCAATTAGTGCATTTCTTTTTGTGGAATCGAGTATTTTAATTCACACCCAAAAGAACCCAGAAGAACGATAAATTTGTGTCAGTTGTGGGGTGTGGATTATTGGATATTTAGTGAAAATAAATCGGACGATCAGTGAAGGAAGAATGCCGCGATTGGTTGATTTGAAAATTACCGATGTAAAAAGTGAGCTGGAGGAAAGAGAGTGCGACACAGCTGGAAAGAAAGCGGAATTACAAGAGCGGCTTCATCAAGCATTAGGGAGGCGAGGACCCGGATATTTTCATTTTTACCGGTGCAGGGGATATTGGTTTAATGCTGCAAAACCTTTCGACCAAGTTAGAAAACAAGCTCATGGAAAATTGTGCTAATCTAGGGTTAAAGCTCGAGGAAAATTGTGCCGATCTCTTAGAACACTCAGCCAAGGTAGAAAATAGGCTCGTGGAAAATTGTGCCAACCTAGAAGGAAAACTCTTGGAGTTACTCGAAAGCACAGCCAAATTAGAAGAGAAGTTTTCGGGAAATACCGCCGATATAAAAAAGAATTGGAAGATAAAATTATCGAAAAATCTTGCCAGTTGGTAAAACGGATTTTAAAAACATTGGAAGACAGAATGCGAGAAGTGCAAAGCAAGTTTGCCGCTTTACACGTCAAGGACATCGACGAACGGCAGCGTGAACTTCCGCTGGAAAAATCAAGTGAGGTTGGAGCTTCCGTTGGATCACCTGGCTAACTGTGAATGAGACCCCGCAATTTGATTATACAACACCTTGGAATGTCTAACGGCGTCTGGTTGAGGCAGCCGCGAATGCAATTGGTTGGTCATCGACCGAAAAGGCAACTGCACTCACTTTGGCCCTGCGAGGAGATGCTGCAGCTATTCTTCAAAGAATATGACCCGAAGAGCAAGTCTACGAACCGCTAGTAAGACATTTGGAGATACGATACGGCCAGTCACATTTAGAACATGTCTACTATACTCAACTAAAGAGTCGGTTCCAGAAGTCAGGCGAGTCCCTGCAGGAGCTCGAAGCGGATATTACGCGGCTGGTACGATTAGCATATCCTGATGTCCAGGAAAGGAAAACGGAGCGATTGGCAGTTCAAGCATTCCTGGATGGACTTCGTGATGGTGAAATAAGGCAAGCCCTACTATATAATAAAACCCAGGTCTGAGCAAGTCCCATCAGTTAATACTACCCAAGTCTCCTTGCTTAAAGATCAGTCTAATAGTGTTTTTGTCGATGCTTTTGTGGATGACACTCTCCACACCGTACTGCTGGATACAGGTGCGACAAAGACTATAAGGCCCGACATGGTGAAAGCATCGACGAAGATTCGACCATCCAAATGATGACTCCGAACGGCGACGGGAGACCGAGTAAACGTATACGGTGAAGTAGACATCGCATTTGCAGTAGGAAAAGCTACATTCGAACATCCGGCGATAGTAGCTGATATTGAGGACGAGGTAATCATCGGAATGGACATCATGAACACAAAGGCCTTCGAGTTCAAATTTAAGCAACGAATCTTAAGAATGAACGATGAGGAGGTCATTTTACACCGGGAAATGAATGGAAACGTACGAGTTCTATTGCCTGAAGACACCGTGATTCCAGAACGAGGCGAATCTGTATTGAATGGCTCAGTAGATGGCCAGACTACAGACGGAGAAATAGTCATATTTGAACCTAGGATGCATGACGAGGCTATTGGCTGAGAAATAGCAGTTGAAAAAGGCCCTTGTACGTGCCGATAAAACTATTCCTGTGAGACTAATGAATGTCAGTCATTACCCTGTGTCATTAAAGAAAAGATCAAAGCTGGGAAACTGCTGTCCAGTTTCTGCAACCATTCGAAATATTCCAGCTGTGGAAAACTCAGGCGTCATTCCTGAGAAACTGGAAGAACTAATATCGTCATCAGGCAGAGATCTAAAACCAGACCAAAGAAAGAAACTGGAACATGTAATACATAGATATCGGGATGCATTCGATACTGGATAGAAAGGAAGAACCAGTATAGTCCAGCACAAGATCAATACGTCCCATCCGGCAGATGGCAAGAAGGCTCCCACTTGCTAAAAGAGAGCAGGCTGACAAGATCGTAGACAGTATGGCTAACGACGGAATCATTGAACCGTCCAATGGTCCATGGGCCTCACCGGTAGTTTTGGTTAAAAAAAAAGATGGTTCAATCAGATTTTGTGTGGACTACCGAGTGTTAGACAACGTGACCAAGAAGGACAGCTACCCTCTTCCGCGTATTGATGAAAATCTGGATATCCTGGCTGGATCAAAAATGTTTTCCACCCTAGATCTAAAAAGCGTATACTGGCAAGTAGAATTGGCCCCTGAAGATCGGGAAAAGACAGCATTCATGGTGGGCACCGGATTATGGCAGTTTAATGTGATGCCATTCGGCCTATCCAATGCTCCTGTCACCTTTGAAAGGCTGATGGTCACGATTCTACGAGGACTATCCTGGAAAACGTGTCTGGTTTATCTTGATGACATTATTGTGGTGGCAAAATCATTTGGGGACCACATGAAGAACCTAGAGGAAGTTTTCTTCAGGCTACGAGGTTCTGGCTTAAAATTAGGTCCAAAGAAATGCCACCTGTTTCAAAGAGCTGTGCAGTATCTTGGCCATGTTGTTTCCAATCAGGGAGTCGCGGTCGACAAGGAGAAAATCCATACTGTAAAAGAATGGCCAGTTCCGAAGGACAAACGTAAGCTCCGCAGCTTCCTAGGATTGTGTACATATTACCGACGTTACGTGGAAGGATTTGCTAACATCGCAAAGCCATTGACCAGGCTGACAGAAGGGGAACGGAAATCTCAATGGGATCAGTATTGCCAACAAGATTTTACCCACCTGAAAGAAGCTTTAACAAGCGCACCTATACTCAGCTATCCACTGCCAGAATGAAAGTTTGTGTTAGACACTGATGCTAGCAATGTGGACATATAGATGCTGTATCATCCCAAGTCCAGGAAGGCAAAGAAAAAAATGTCATTGGTTATTTTAACAAAACGGAGCGTAACTATTGCGTTACCCGAAGGGAGTTGCTGGCCGTCGTAAAGGCAATGGAACCTTCCTACAAATACCTCTATGGCAGAAAATTCTTACTCCGAACCGATCACGCACCTCTAACATGGCTTCTCCAGATTATGAATCCAGAAAGTCAAGCTGCAAGAGGGATAGAGAAGCTGCAAGAGTTTGACTTCGACATCGAACATCGAGCGTGAAAGATCCATCGGAATGCAGATGCCTTATCAAGGAGACCCTGTTTATAGGTTTGTAAGTGTTGCCAGCGAGCAGAGGAGAAAGATGCCCAAGTATTAAGAACCACTATCGTTAGTGATACTTGGCAAAACGAAGACCCCATCAAAGACCAAGAGGGCGGCCCCAATCTCCAAATAGTTCTGAACTGGATGAAAGGACAACGGAAACCAGCCTGGGAAGAAGTTGTCAAGTATTTCTCTACGATAAAATCGTATTAGGCATAATGGAATTCTCTAGTTATGGATGACGGACTCTTACTGCGTAAAATGGTGGACCAAGACGGCAGATGAAAGAATACAAATCGTTATCCCCAGATGTCCGATTTCGGAGCTGCTTGAAGAAATCCATTCCGGTGTGTCAGGAGGTGATCACGGAGTTACAAGAACCCTGGAAAAAGTGAGGGAAAGATTTTATTGGGTCAGTAGTAGGGCGGACTTAAAATACTGGTACAGAAAATGCGTTGTATTTGCGGCAAGTATTGGACCGCAAAGGAAACTAAAAGCTTCGATGCGCCAATACAACATGGGGAGCCCCTTTGAAAGGATTGCTATTGATGTGGCGGGACCCTTTCCAGAAAGTGAAGCAGGGAATAAATACATCATTGTGGTAATGGACTACTTCAGCAAGTGGGTTGAAGCATACTCCCTACCAAATCAGGAAGCCTCTATGGTATCCGAATGGATCTGTCAATTCGGTGTACCTTTAGAGTTGCGTACGGACCAAGAACGCAATTTCCTTAGGATTAAGAAGACCAGACCTACTGAGTTACAGCCGCAGTCAGATGGAATGATGGAGCGCATGAATAGGACCATTAACCGGTATTTGGCCATCAAAGAGACTGGGATGGTTTTCTTCACCTATTATTATTGGGTTACCGATCATCGATTCATGAAAGCAGAGGAGAGATCCCGGCTCGAACAGTTATGGAAAGAGAACTTCGTCTCTCATGCGATCTAAAGTTTGGCTGTCCCCCAGGAACTGATATTGCCGGAGAAGACTACTTAAGTGTGTAGGACTGCCGCCTAAACTTCAGTCATCCTGGGACGGTCCATATAAAGTTCTGGAAGCCATCAACGATGTTCTCTACAGGATTCAGAAGGCACCACGCGGAAAACCCCGAATTGTACATTTCGACCGACTTGCCCCTTAGCATGGAAACAACGAAGATGGAGCGGTCCGGCAAATCCAACCAGAACCGTATATGGCATTTGACCAATTTATGGTCCATAAGAGTAGGTATGGCGTGACATGTGAACTACAACAAGATCTGTTTAGCACTTCACCAGAGTATGGCCTAGCACACTGTGTGGCTCAAGACTTGCAAATGTCGAGAGGTGTAGCAAATGTCTTTCTCGGGACGTTTGGAAGAGTGCCCAAGCTGCGTCAATCTAAGCCGGAAGTCGTAAAAGTACTCCAGATAACTCAAAAGGGCACCAACCGAAAGACCTCCTATCTGGTTACCAAGAAATCTTCGTCTCAGAAACCGAATTACGAGGATGTCTGGAGCGCCTTGTGTTGCTTGCCGGGGACCTGAGAAACCTGGCAATGCCTAAGCTGGCATGTGGACTGGACAACTTGGACTTCATAATCTTCTGAAGCATGCTTGAGGTAGTCTTCCGGTATTCAGGCATCCGATTTCTGGTATGTTGTCACAGTCCTAGACGGCTACCTCCTTGAAAGACTGTGGATTGTTACTTCTTCAAGAGCTCCTACTGCAAGAAGGGGCAGTCGTGCCGATATCGACATCCACCATCAGTAAGATCATTCCGGGATGGAATGAATTTAGTGTAACAAGAATGAATGGACCTACTAGCGCCATCTGTTAGGAATCGCGCCCGGGACTCTCCTTGGGCATCGAAGCGAGATGCGAGACTGGCCCTGAAGGATCTGGAGTGACCGCTATATTTCGTACAGAAACTTTCTCGAATTAACGAGTACCTGCGATGCGGAATGTATAAGCCGACGGCTGGGAGAGAGAAGAGGAGTTGAGTGAATGGCGCGACATAATAATCCGTAAATAAGTAGTCAGACATAAATAGTGGTGTACATAAAAGTTCTATCTAGTTAAGTTAAAGTTAGTTGTATTGTGTTTTAAATAAATTAGTGCATTTTTTCTTGTAGAATCGAGTGTTTTAATTCACACCCAAAAGAATCCAGAAAAACGCTGAAATATATATAGTTATACTTCCATCTTCTCAGGAGCTAATTTCAGGCATTGTTTTTCCATCCATATGGTAATTCTCGTATGCCGGGAGTCCTTCGAGTTTAGCTCTCTCCTTGTTAGTTACTATCATCGCAAGGTCGTCAGCATACCCTATCAGGCGAATCACCGGCAGCAGCTGCAACTGAAGAACCCTAGGCTGTGGCACACCCACGGTTACCTTCATCATTTTTTGTCCTACTATAAGTGCCCTCTCGTCAAAGTAGCTCTTCATGTTCAATAGATAGCTGAGGGTGCCTAGCTTGTCGAGGTATTTGACGATTATCTGCTATTGTGTCGTGTTAACGTCAAAGGCAACTATAACGAAAATCTTCTTACTACTGTAGCTGCCGCTATCCGCTTATTCTGCCAGCTATGCCACTGTACTAAGTGCATCTATGGTAAACTTTTCTTTGGCTATGGATGTGTGCCTTAATATTAGGTTAGATCCACATTTCAGGTAATTAAAGTTACACTTCTGAATGTATATCATATGACGATATAGATATAATGGGAGTCAACAACAAAGACAGTAATGATGCCATCATACCTAAAAGATTTCCCACCACAAACACTTTGTTGTGGTTATTTCTCGAAATTATCAATACAAAATATAAAATCAGCATGTAAGAAACACTTCAACACAGAGAGATTACAAATCCATAGAATTATCAGCCAGCTATTAAAATTCAGAACGTCGATCTAGATATCTAGAATATTTTCGTTGTACCAAAGGTAAATGAAATAACGAATATATCTAGTAAAACAGTATATGTATAGAGGCGAATGCTGAAATCAACGTAACTTCGCACTTGCACTTGTAGTGGACAGAATTATATAGTTCCAGTAAAGATCGATCACTTTCTATTCATCATTATCCGTCAGAGCGGTACGTAGGACCTTTGCCCTTGGTTGAAGTATTGTAAGTCAGTAGATCTGTCAGGCTGTAGACAGTCATAGAGAATGAACGGGAGAAGAAGGGAAGGAAGGCAGGGGGGAGAAGAGAAGGAATTGCGTCAATTTCAGAAGTGTATTGTCGTTGTTAACTAGTATTCGGGAATTTTGAATTGACCCTAAAATTAATTTAAAGATTGCTTGTTGAAGAAAGATAATCATTTTGGTTGGACCTAAAGTCGTACGATTTAATTTTGTTCACAGTGCGAGCCGCGGCCTTGTGTGCTTCTGAACTTGGTCAACCGTATGGTCTACTGACTCGTGCAACCCTTTGTAAGGGTTGCTATGCGATATCTCTTGGCTATAACGTAGCTGCGCTTGTTGTTTAATGTAGTTCCTTAGCTAATGGATGTCAAGGTCTCTTTACAGCATCTCATTGGAGACATACAGATGTGGTAAATCATCTTGTATAACCGAACTTTGTTGATCAGACTCATTTGAGGTTCTACATAGCATGGGGTGAAGTTGCCGGATCGTGAATTGGAATTTAGTTTTTAACGCTTCAGTGTGCTTGTGTCAGGTCATCCCCTTGTCAAAGCTGACACCAAGATACTTAGCAGTATTTTCCCATGATACGCAAGCTCCGTTCATTTGGCCGGGGCACCGCTATGCTTTTTAGTACAATAGACAGCCTGCGTTTTCAAATGACTAGTTTTGATCAGCCACCGATCCGCCCATTCCAATCCTTAAACACTGCACTTTGCAGCCTGTAGTGAACCAGCAAATATTTGCAGAGAGAAAAGTCTGCAGTGTCGTTGTACTGGAAGAAGAGCTACACGCTGCAGAGCTTGCTGAAGGGAATTTATCCTGTCCGTTTGAACCGCATCTATACCGTTCTCCTCATATATGATCTGGATATTGTGGAACTCTCGAAGCAGCCCCTAATCAACCCGTTTCCTAGAAAGAGTTTCCTCTTTCATGGTTTGCTCATTACCTACTTCCAATCCGATAGGAAAAGGATTGGTCCAGATGTCATACATGATTCGAAAATTGACACTGCACTACAATTTCTAGATATTGCGAAATAAATAACATCTGGTGCCTGGAGATGATTTTATGGGTGATTCGTATCACCCGGTTGTGAAGTCGAATCCCACTGGTGAAATTCAACCTAGACTGCCATGGTCGATGTATGCAATCGAAGTGGCTTGTAACAATAAGCGGATTCGAGCATCGATCACTTATGATCATATTTGTGCTTTTGTTTTGATGATATCGATCTACTCGAGAAGCATCATATCTAAGCTGTCTTCTGTGTGTGCATGTGGAGGGGAGGTGAGAGGATGCAATTTCATAGGGAATACCTTGCTTGACCAGTGCTTTGTGGATTTACAATATGAAGGTTCTTCATTACAATATGTACCGCCGCTGTCTGTAATCCTTGTACTGTTTGCCCAGGCAGCCTCGCCGGCAAATCCTCGCCCCGCTTTGCGATGCCGTGCCGGTCTGTCCAACTGGGAATGCAATCTCCTAACAAAGGAAAATCTTCATTCTCCCCTTCCGAAGGCACATACAACCTCTTTCCTGGCGACTAAATAAAAAGAGACGAAAGTCCGCCGCAACTACGATGGCCGGTAAATAGTTCCTTTTTGTGTCTTCCCGGTTATGACAACTCCGAGGAATTTGTTCGGAAAGTAAGATAACGACGTGGTGATCCCTCGGGACAGCGCTGGCTTACGTCGGACCGACTGGAAAGACAATGACGTCGGTTTCGAGTGGAAAAAACATTCTTCTTTCAGCATACTTTTATTTGTACCGGATATTTAGGAGTTGCTGTAAGTAACAGGAATTGCTTTCGGAACTAATTGCTGTCGTTGGCTCGGGGAGGTAGTGTCAATCAGTGGCGAAGCGTCCATGTAACCATTATTACCATTGGTAACAGTTAAAAATCTTAAAAGTAAATATTTTATGATTATGTACTGTGAAGAAAGTTCATTTATTTGTTTACCAACAGCGATATGTAACAGTAATTCAGTAATTAGCAAATTAGCCCCACGAAAATAATGCGCCCTATAGTGTCTAGGTTTTGTGAACACGATGAAGCTGACTCGCCTCGACTTGGTTGTCGGTTGTTACCATTTTCATTTATGGATACACTTGGTAGTCCGTCGGGGACCGTCGGTACCGGCTCGTGTCTTATCGCGGTCGCCCGAGTGCGTGGGGCGCTGCGACTATTATGTGGGCTTGTTACCATTTTTTGTTTTGGTTACTCACTTCTCAGTCTTTTCACTCGTTAGTAGCCGTTTTGGTTACCGGCTGAAGTGTGCGTGCAATTGAACATGGATGGCTGTCGCTGCGTAACCGATCAACTACTTGAAAAATCATTCTCCTTGTAGAATTTTTAAGAAAAAAAGGAGATCATTGAAAATAGAAGACCAACACCTATTTTAGATAATTTTAAAAATGAATAAAAAAACGTAGTTTGATATTTTAAATTAAGTTGGTATATGGAAACTTTTGGTTATGTGGCTGCAAAAAACAAATTGTATTGTTGGCGATGTCTTCTGTTTTATACAGAAAAAAATGGGTGGACCAGCAGCGGAGTCAACGATTTAAATAGTTTTAGGGCTCTAAAGAGGAGACATGAAATTTCTCCGTTACATGTGAGATGTGTAGCCAATTTAACTCAGTTTGGCAAAACAAGAACCGAGAGTTGTTTTAACCAAGCTTTTAGGCAGCACACTTTTAGGTACTTTATGTTTTTTGGCAAAACAGATATTACCGTTCATTTTGAAGGGGATGACTCTGACAATAGAGGAAATTACAGGGATTTTTATTTATTTATACTGATCCATACACTGCCTGAACGGAGTGATCCAATTAACAGGCAGGGAAAAAACAAAAAATGATACAAAAACAAAACTCTAAAGAGTACATGATAGAAAAGACATAAATATAAATTATCCAATTGTTAAAAAACACCGAACTAAAGGTATCAAGTTCACTTACACTGTCACACACGTTACACGTAACATAAAGAGGCGAAAATAACAATAAATTTGTCCGCGGAACAGGTAAATAAAATGAGTTGTTACCACCATGACGAGTACGCAAATTGGGAACCCGTAGAGAGATCCTGTCTAGAACAAAAGGGCAATCAATTGTTCCATTCAACAAATTACATAAAAATTTAGCAGCTAACATTCATACGTTTGACTAAACTATGTAAATTATATTTACTTAAGAGAATGTCATTGCGTATACCCCTGTTAGGGTACGCTCTATCATCTTTAAACCATAAGTATTTCACAAAACGACGTTGGATCCTCTCGATGTTTTTACAGTGTATATCATAGGCCCGGTACCAGATAATCGAACAGTATTCAAAAATAGATCTGACAAAAGCATTAAAAAGTAAAATTAATGTAATTAGTATTATTGAAATGTCTACTGTTTCTTATAACAAAACCAAGATTTTTAACATTCATTGCCAAAAAAGATAAAAAATTTCTAGAAAGGTCGACTGTTTTTTTCGGACGGCTTGGATTGGTCATAGCATAAGATGATGTGCTCCAGACGCTCAGTCCAGGAATGTTTACCTTAATTTTAAAATAGTTCAAATAAAATACCTAAAATCAGCAAAA